GTACGTGTGTGTTCAAGAAACGATCCACTAATTCGCTAAACAAACAATTCAGGATCTCAATTCCTTGTATCCACAACGCGTCGCAGCTTTCATCTCCTTGACCCCGATCAAGGATTCGCAGTATCCTCGATACTGTTCAAACCTTGCCAAATCCGAGGAATTGGCTCTTGGTTCGCCAGCCTACAAACAATCCGTGACAAGAAGTACGTTCGAATCTAACTAAAGGACGAGAACGATAACGAGATAGCGCCAGCGAGATGAAACACGGTGTACAATCTATCATTCATAGATGTAACTCTGGACCGACTAGAAGTTGGATGTAGTCTGCGAGAAATGCGATAAGAATCGGCAAAAATGATTTGACAGTCGCGCTAAATTATTAAACGTTGAATTGTGCAATTATAGATCAGTTGAAAAAGGAATTCAACCGAGCAGAGTATATACATTGTATTTAATACTACCGACGACTGAAAATTTTAAACCCTACGATAGAATGAATTACACAAGCTTTTATTTTGAACAAAAATCATTCAAATTGTTAAAAATACATTATTTTGTGTCGAAATTTTTAACAAAAATTGGTCACTTCAGTAGTTGTAGTTGCGTGTTGAACTGAAATCTCAAAGGAAGGATGTCTAATTCCTGATTTGTAGGATCGTTGACAATTAATTAACAATCTATAACAAGCAAAAATTTCATTTAATTCGTAATTAAATACGCAATTAAGTTTGGTACAATATTGAAAATCCACGTGTGGATGAAAAATAATGAGGCGCGAGCTTCGACAATTTACAATTGAAAATCTCTTTCTCGATGGCGGTTCATGCCAGCCATCGTGTGCAAATGAAACAGGAATTCGATTCACTTTTTGCCCCCCCCCCCCCCGTGCGATCAACAATCCTGCACAAGTGAGACGATCATTCACGCTTACGAATGCTTCGACGATTTCACGATTTCACGCGCGAGATGGAAAGTAAATATAAATAATTGAACTGCGTGTGGGCATCTTCGCGCGAGATAACAACTTTCCAACTCGCCCGATATTGACCCAATTTTTCACACAAGCGTGTCAATACTTCTCGTGAGAATCTGCTCTGCGCACGAGTACACGGGGGAAACAGGAGAGCAAGAGAAGAAGACAGGTGAAGAGGAAACAGAGAGAGAGAGAGAGAGAGAGAGGGAGGAAGAGCTCGAAGGGAGGAGACAGGGCGGAGGGATTTATTACCAAGGATTTACTGTTATTACCCGGAGGGGGAGAGAAGCACTCGAGCGGGCAACGGCGTTGCATACGTGGGGTGCGTTTATCCGATGCGCAGACCTCCATGTACCGAGAATACATGGGGACACGCGTGTGCATGTAACGTTGGATGGCTGCATTCGCAAACTCGACGTTCCGCGTCTCCTAGCGACTGCGGTTTGTCCTCCTGTCCCGTCGAGGTCCGCCGGCATTACGCTCTGCGTAATTGAACAGCGCCGACGTACTTTGCTTTACATTTTAACTCATCTTCTCTCTGTCTTTTTTTCTCCGTTTCGCGAGCTACTATTCCCAGGATACGAGGGCGAAACGTTGGCCAGACGGGACCAACAAACTTTCGACGATTATTGTTTTTAACGGGCAGGGATCGAAAAGAGGGTGCGTAATTCATTCGGAAGCCACGCTGCTCACAGAGACTGCAAGCGTTTGTCTTTTTTCACTTATCTCTGGATTTACTCACTTTTGATATTCCAAACAAAGTGCAACACGCGAATATTCTCTCGAGAAAAATATGGAATATCGCGCGAAGCGGAGTCGATCGTTTTCAGATGATTCTGCTGAGAGATTCACGTATTGCTTTGGTTAGGGCAGTTACCACAGGCAGAACTGCGATAGATATATTCGAGCAAATATACTGTCAAATATATTGTACATTGGGCTGACTGAAAAGTAACCTTGGATTTTTACTGTGAACGTAGTATATGCTCTTCTATCGGTATTCTGACGGCTGTCAGAAACTTCACAATTTCATTCTTCCAGAATTTATTACATTCTTCTGACCGCGCACAAAAATCTCTTCTATAAGAATATAGAGTATTCTATAATATTCTACAACTTACGTATATAAAATAGAATAGAATTGTAGAACATTATAGAACATTATAGAATATTATAGAGTACTCTATACTAAGAATATATATATATATATTCTATATCTTACAATTCTATTCCATTTTATATAACAGATCTTGCAGTAGATTTTATAATATTCAGATTTCAACAGATCTGAGTAAGAAAATTCTCGTCACTCGTTTGCAACCAGTGAATTTTTTCTTTTTTCAGGCCGTAGCTTAGTGACTTTCATCGGCCAGATTCATACAATATAAATGCGGTTGAACGACGTGCGGAAAGGTGGAGCGTGAAAATTCGATTTTAAAGTTGTCGGTCGATCCGCGATGCAGGGTTCATCACACATGCACACCTTGTTTGCGTCCGTTTCGACGCGCTTTAAATCAGGTCACCGGAATTCGACGCGACCTCAAAGCGAGACCCGAAACCCGTAATTTCTAATCGAATACGCGATACGCTCGAGCGCGACTGATATTTGCTGTGATTCCAACGGGCTTCCACGTTCAAATTGAATCTGTTTGCTTTTGGAATTTGCTTATGGTGTCTAGGGTATTCCTGGGGGGGGGGGGGGGGGGGG